CGGTGGAAAAAATTGGAGATCAACGTCTGATGGAACAATAAGACGTCAAACGTAATTTCCATCGTAATTTCATATTTCCCGCGAAAGTAATCCACCGTTCGATCCACCTGAGCCCACCTCCATTAACTTTCCTTTCCACATTAATTCACATCTGAATTTATTCCCGGTGCAACGCCGTGTCCACGTTAAGCGGCAGCACCTAGAAAGCGGGGGAGGGGAGGGAAAAAAAATACGTAGAGAGCGGTTCGACCTAATTATCCAAGGTAAGATAATAGAGTGTCTTCCATTACGAAGGAAATTTTGTCTGGTAGCATCTGGAAGGAAAAATTTTTATTACGCCCCGGGGATAATCTTGCGCAGGTATGCATTGCAAATACAACGGGGGAATGAAGGAGATGAGACAGTTAAAAAAAACGGACATTAACCGTGCAGTGAATGAGAGAAAAGAACATTAGCTGTAGAGTAAGAGAGAGAGAGAGAGAGAGAGAGAGAGAGAGAGAGATGATATGCCACGACGGAGATAGAAATAAGGCGAGATGAAAATGGTAACGAAAATGAAAATGGTCAAGTCTTCACGAATATCCGTAGTTGCGGAAATTTATGCGAAAGAAAGCGAAATTGCCAATTAGCAGGATTTCGTGTTTGCCTCGTGAAATGGCAATCTGTCGTTTCCGACGGAATTTCAATCTGAAGCACAAGACATTATGTGGCGACATTACTGCGGAGAGACACGGAATTTATAAGCTGTTTACCACGATAGTTTCCATCAAGTATTGTTCTACCGCGCTGACACGTGTTTTTCCCTTTTTCTGTCTTTCCTTTCTTTTTTTTCTCCTCTGTTCGTGACACAACTTCTGAAATATGTATTTCCTATCTGCAGGTGTTTGTTTGTTTGTCAAAGGACGCTTCATCAGCCATCGTAGACAGGACAGAAAGTTTTTTTTAATCCTGAATTCAAAAAAGCGTAAGTTTCTTTAGTTAGTCGTTCCAGGGTTTCACGTTTTGCTCTCCCTTGTTTTTATTATTTTTCTTTTTTTTTTTTTTTGAAAACTCTGTCCAGACTTCTAAGATGGTAATCTGTGCCAGGGAGAGTCGAGAAGCGAACAAGGATAAGAAAGAAGTTCCGTAGCCCAATTGGAAGTTTTTAGGGGACTGTGTTACTAAGTTGTTCCCGCGTTATCGCGAGGCAACAAGAAATTTCTACCACAATAGAAATCTATATGCACAACTTTTAATGGCGAGCTCTTTTTCCTTTTTTTTTTTTTTTTTATCACCAAGGTTTTACAACTAACGAAAGGGGAGAACAAAATACAGATAAAGTCGTCGAGAGATTCGAAGAATTCTTTCGAGAAGCGATTTAGCATTAATGGCACATTCTCTCAAAAAAACATTTACTTTATATACATATATATGTATGTATATAAAAATGCTTGCATTCCTTCAAACAAAATTCCCAAGGCGCGCTCGTGTTGCTTGGGCATGAAGCAACGATCGCGTGCAAGCGCATCGATCCCTCGCGAGAGAACAACCTGTTACGACTAACAAAGTAAAATCGGAAAATTTCTCGCCTTCACACGAGCCTCGGTCTCTCTCGACCGAGAACTGTGTCTGGCTGTGCTCGTGCTTTGTCCGTTCCACGGTGAAGGAACAGGAGGACCGTAGCTCTCCCTCGTGTGATAATGCTTCCCGAGAGACAAGCTCGTAAAGGCAGATAATTGCACGTGAAAGTGAACGTTGCTAATCTTCGCATTCAGCTGCGTGCACGCGCGCCATCGCGTTCGCGTTTGCAAAGCTGAATTCCTCGCGTGACTCGACTGCTCAGCTCGCCTCGTCCTGATTCTGCTTCAGTCGGTGCCCAACACGTGCATTATATGTGT